ATATTGGGCGAGAAGTACAACCTTATTTATTTATTTATTTATTTAGGTAAATCATTATAAGAAAGGTATATAATTGACTTTTACACTAAGCTTAGCACATGTGATTATTACTAATAACTATTTCAATCATGTACAAAATCTGAACTATTTCGGAGAAGAGAATTTTTATTTTTGTATCCATGTTGATTATAGATTGCCAAATAAAGTTAAATGTTAGTAGGTATCATATTGCCTCTTAGATTGACAAATTCACTAATTTGGGCTTGTATTCAAATAATATGGACAACGCTTGTTGAAGAGTTTTCTTTGTTTCCCTTACTCTAGCCCTTGTCATAGGTCCTCCAAGTTCTTCAAGTGGATCATTGTCCTTGCTTATAGTCATGTCTTCATCACACACAAACTCACTTGGAAGCTCTTCGATTTCAAAGGATGAAAAGGACGATATATCTTACCGATATTTAAGAAAATTGCAGGCAAACTCTCAAAACTTGGAGCGATAACAACAAGCACACTCTTAAAACTTGGAGCAATAACGACAAGCACACTTTTGAAAGTCAAAGCTCACAAAAACGTGCCACTTTAGTTATAATTCTATATAACTAAAGGTGTATTATATCACAACGACTTTAGTTATAACCCTACATAATTGAAATCATGTTATGAAGTAGATCATTTTAGTTATAATTGTATACAACTAAAGTGATCTTCATAAAACGACTTCAAATAAAAACAATTATTGTCTACTACGTAATACAATTTTAATTACATTTCTACATAATCTATGTTGTAAAATGATTTTATTGAAAAAGAATACATGAATAAAGTTGTTGTACATAATATCACTTTTGTATTGAAATTGTCTAACCTTAGACAACTTTTTATGCAAAAGTAGTTTTATGTTACACGTCTCAACTTTAAATAAAATAAACTTAGGAACACAAAAATTATGTTACATAGCAAAACTTCTTCCTCGTCTGACTAAATCCATTCTACATTTATCATATAGTTGTGTCACTTCACAAGACTTGACCTACTTTCATAAAATATTTAGAAACAACTCTTTTATACAAAATCCTACATTTTTTACCCACTTTGCTAATAAACAAAAAAAGACCACATAGCACATTTAATTAGTATCACATGAAACATTATAAGACAATACAAGATTTTTTAAATTGTTAATTAAAGTTTTTCTATACAAGTACCCTTGAACAAAAATAATTTGAATAAAAAATTAATATTCTAGAAATTAATTTTTTCAATATATTTAAATTAAATATATTCTGGTTTCCAAAAATAAAGAAATATAGAAAATAATAACATTCAGAAATTAATATAGAAATTTTAATATGTGGTCCTAATATATGTGGAGGATAGAATTATATATATAGAAATTGAATTATACATAATTAACTGAGTTATGGAACCTACGCATGTGAGGAAGTTATTATTCAAAGTATAATAGATAGAAATGTTAATGTTACTCTATGTTTTTTAACAACTCTTTCTTTTATTATTTTCTTAAATAATAAAGCCTTCAATTTTAATTGATATTTGATGGGATAAAAACATGCAATAATAAACCATGTTCCTAATATGGGTTAGGTTTATTTGATTAAAATGCTAGTAAATTCTTCATGAGATATTGGGAGAGAAGTACAACCTTATTTATTTATTTAGGTAAATCATTATAAGAAAGGTGCATAATTGACTTTTACAATAGGCTTAGCACATGTGATTATTACTAGTAACTATTTCATTCATGTACAAAATCTGAATTACTTTTGAAGAAGAGTGTTTTCATTTTTGTATCCATGATTATAGATGGCCAAATAAAGTTAAATGTGAGTAGGTATCATTATTTCCTCTTAGATTGTCAAATTCACTAATTTGGGTTTGTATTCAAATAATATGGACAACGTTTGTTGAAGAGTTTCCTTTGTTTTTCTTACTCTAGCCTTTGTCATAGGTCCTCCAAGTCCTTCAAGTGGATCCTTGCCCTTGCTCATGGTCATGTCTTCATCATACACAAACTTACCCGAAAGCTCTTCGATTGCAAAGGATGAAAAGGACGATATATCTTACTAATATTCAAGAAAATTGCAAGCACACTCTCAAAACTTGGAGCGGAAACAACAAACACACTCTCGAAAGTCAGAGCTCACAATAACGCATGAATTTAGTTATAATTCTATATAACTAAAGGTGTATTACATAACATCGACTTTAGTTATAACTCTACATAATTGAAATTATGTTATGAAGTAGATTATTTTAGTTATAATTTTATACAACTAAAGTGATCTTCATAAAACGACTTCTAATAAAAACAACTATTGTCTACTACGTAATACAATTTTAATTACATTTCTACATAATCTATGTTGTAAAACGATTTCATTAAAAAATAATATTTGAATAAAGTCATTGTACATAATATGACTTTTGTATCGAAATCGTCTAACCTTAGAAAACTTTTTATGCAGAACTGGTTTTATGTTACACGACTCAACTTTAAATAAAATAAACTTAGTAACACAAAAATTGTGTTACATAGGAAAACTTCTTCCTCATTTGACTAAATTCATTCTACATTTATCATATAGTTGTGTCACTTCACAAGACTTGACCTACTTACATAAAATATTTAGAAGCAGCTCTTTTATACAAAATCCTACATTTTTTACCCATTTTGCTAAAAAACCAAAAAAGACCACATAGCACATTTAGTATCACATGGAACATTATAAGTCAATACAAGATTTTTTAAATTGTTAATTAAAGTTTTTCTATACAAGTACCCTTGAATAAGAATAATTTGAATAAAAATTTAATATTCTAGAAATTATTTTTTTCAATATATTTAAATTAAATATATTCTGGTTTCCAAAAATAAAGAAATATAAAAAAATAATAACGTTCAAAAGTTAATATAGAAATTTTAATATGTGGTCCTAATATATGTGGAGGAGAGAATTATATATATAGAAATTGAATTATACATAATTAACTCGAGTTATGGAACCTACACACGTAAGGAAATTATTATTCAGAGTGTAATAGATAGAAATGTTAATGTTACTCTATGTTTTTTCAACAACTCTTTCTTTTCTTTTCTTTTTCTTAAATAATAAAGCCTTCAATTTTAATTGATATTTGATGGGATAAAAACATGCAATAATAAACCATGCTCCTAACATGGGTTAGGTTTATTTGATTGAAATGCTAGTAAATTCTTCACGTGATACTGGGAGAGAAGTACAACCTTTTTTATTTATTTAGGTAAATCATTATAAGAAAAGTATATAATTGACTTTTACACTAAGCTTAGCACATGTGATTATTACTAGTAACTATTTCTTTCATGTATATAATCTGAACTATTTTTGGAGAAGAGTGTTGTCATTTTTGTATCCATAGATAGCCAAATAAAGTTAATGTCAGTAAGTATCATTATATTGCCACTTACATTGTCAAATTCACTAATTTGGGTTTGTATTCAAATAATATAGATAACACTTATTGAAAAGTTTCTTTTGTTTCCCTTGTTCTAGCCCTAGTCATAGGTCCTCCAAGTTCTTCAAGTGGATCCTTATCCTTGTTCATGGTCATGTCTTCATCACACACAAATTCACATGGAAGCTCTTCGATTGCAAAGGATGATATATCTTACCGATATTCAAGAAAATTGCAAGCACACTCTCGGGACTTGTATCGATAATAAAATAATTATATTTTGAAGAATAAAAAAAATTAATAATCAAAACTTTTATTATTTTTATAATTAAATAAAAATTTCTTCTAAAGAATATATTTTATATTTATTAACATTTTAAAATTATAACTTAAAAAACAATTAACTTAATTATGCAATCAAATATTTGAATATAATATTATAATAATATAATGATAATAATAATATATTTTATATTTGTATAAAAAATTAGTAAATATTTATTTTTTTATATAAATTTTTAATATAAATATAATAATTAAAGTATAGTTTTAATTAATAATAACAATTAAAAATTATAAATATTTATTTTTTATAAAAAATACATAAAAAATATTAAAATTAATTTATTATTAAAATAATTATCTTTTAGAAATAATATAGAATGGAGATAGATCGAAGGCAAAGAAATCTGAAATCAATAGAAATAAGAACTTAATTTTTAATTCTAGCAATAATCAAGGATATAATAAAAAAAATTGGAGTCCTATCCAACTCATTCTATTGTCATACCTATTTACACCTCATAAATATATTATCTAAATAAAAATACAATTTTGAAATCCTTAAAATAATCTAGAAAATATGATTTAGAATGTGTTAAAAAAAATTGTATTACATGTTTAAACAAATAAAAGAGGTGAAGAGTATTCCCAAATGCATAATTCAAACAATTGTGAACTAGATTCCGATTAAATATATCATATAGAATAATTATTAGGAAATAGTGGAGAAAGGTATTTTAAGATATGTATTTCGGAGTAATTTAAAATAAACATCATTTTATTTAATTATGAAAAGTTATTCTAAAAAAAATTATTTCATAATTTATAACCTGAAGTTATATTTCATTATTTTGAATATATTAACAAAAAGATAAAGAGAAGGAAAAAATTTGAAATTTAAACAATTATGAAGGTACAGAAATAAAAACGGGTACAGAGAGAAAAGGACATTTTGCCTTGCGTCGAAAGCTAGGATGTGTAGAGAGACGAAGGCCTAGCCCATATAATGAGGCCCGTCGGATCTTTAACAAATTGAGGCCCATAATGTAGTTTGTGCATCTGAATCAGAAGGAGAACGATAAAGGAGGAACCAACGAACGAAACAAACAAAAGCAACAAAAGAAGACAACGAAGAAGGTTAAAGGTTTGGAAATTGAATCCCTAATTTGGAGAAACCTGGTCCAACTGCTGTGGAGGAGTGTGGTTCTTCAATCTGCATGATCTCATAGCGAATTGCGTAGTGCTCAATCCGCAAAGTAACAATGGGGAAAAACCAAGCCTACAAAGCTATGCAGAGAGCAAGGTTGGGCGGTGCCTCCGCCGGCCCCGATGAGATTGAAGACGGCATGGTTTGTACCCTTCCATTCTAACCCTAACCTAATCCCTATCTTCTGCTTTTAGCACCTTCTACACCAGGGATCTCTTTGTGCGCTACGAAACCCAAAACATTTCTAATCGTAGTTCAGCACATGATTATGAATATCTTTGTGCGGATTTTTGGACTCTGATTGCCCCGCAATCTATCGTATTCGTCAATTAATCCATTACAATCTCAAATGCGATTTCATCCCCAATCCTAATTTCAAAACATTCCCGACTCTTGTTCAATCAGCTACTCTTTGGTTTCAAAACATTGGCCCTCAATGCGATTTTAGGACTTACTCCTGTAGACTAGGATTTAGTCATTTAGACTCGTTTTCTGGTTCATTTCCAGTTTCTTTACAAAATACTGCTGAAATAAATTGTGGTGGAAGATTTGAGCGATGCTTTAAGTTTTCTCAGAAGAGATAACTTGTGCAGTGATACTTTAAACCCTAGCTTGAATCACAAAATTGTCGCATTTTTTCTGCTTCTTTAGGTTAATATATTTTCTAGAAATTTTGGTTGTTAATGGAAGTAAACCTTTTCAATACTAAGTTGAAGGTTTTAAACTACGGCCACAAAGGGGGTCATCGTATTCCTTGATATTGCAGAAAATTGTGAGTAAATACGGCTGATGTGGTCACCATTGTTGTGGTTGCATTATACTTGCATACACCTAAAAACCTTGACCCTGAAGTTGAAATCATGATCATAATCCGTTTTTCGAAACCTTGATACTAAGTGAACAATAAAGTGGCAATTGATGAAGACGGATCTTTTATCCAAGAATCTAGCATAACTATTCTGGATTTTTTATTTTTTTTGGTTGATATGTGGTCTGGTGGAAATTTTCATAAGTAAGGTATATAAATTTTTTGAAGGGAACGCTTCCTATGATGTTCTTCGTTCTTCTTGTGTATTATTCTACAGGATTAAAATGCTTTATAATGCTTGAATGTTGGATCTCTTTCTCTATTTCTCTATTACCCTGGACCAATATTGATGAGGACAGTCGCAGGTGGATGGTTCATTTCATTCACCAGAATGGCATGCAGCTCGTTTGGCTAGCCTTAACACCTCTCATACCATTACATGGGAAGAGTACAAAAAGAAGCAAAAGGTAATCTTATGAGAACCTTGAATATTAATTATTTATTTAAAAAATCCGTTGATTTTATCTGCTGCTCAATCTTATCCAAGTTACATACTCTAAAGCATTTTTATTATTTCAATCCATTTCATTTATGGTTTAAAGTGTGCTTCAATTATATCATTCTTTTTAGCAGTAAATTTGAGGGTTATTTTTACCCTTCATTCAATATGCTATAACCTAGAATTCATATCACATCATTCTTAAATTGTGCCTGAAGTTTGACGCATTTTCCTAAACATTTTTTTTATTTCATTTTCATATCATCATGTTCTTCATCATAAATTTTATTTTATCATTATGTTTCTAATATAATTACACTTTGCTGAAATCCCATCGATGTTTGTCATTTGGCCATGGACACAAGTTACTTTTTCAGTACCTGTTCGTTCGTCATTGTAGTGAAATGGTTATACTGTGCTCAAGTTCTTGTATAAAACCTAATCATTGCCTCAGGGGAGCTTGAGTATAATTCTTTTAATTGTAAATTACATTTCAATACCTAAGATTTTTTAAATCACAGCAAACCCCAAACATGAGCAAAACCCATTCCTCAAATCCCTATTGTAGGTTTAATTAAGTTTTCTGATCCTGACAAACAAGGATCTTTTCATTTGTCCTTAAACCTTTTTTTAGTGTAGTCCTGGACATATCTTGTTAAATCATCCCTGCTGTTAATTTGAACAAAAAAAAAAGGACTGTGAAGGACTAAATAAAGTAAAAGTTTAAGCACCAAAATCAAAAGGACAAAAAATTAATATATACATGGAAAAAAGATTTACAGAGTATGTTCTTATGAACTTTTCTTGACAAAATTAATTTAATTTTTAGCATAATATTAAAAACGTATACCTTGAAAACATTATAAAGAAAATATAATTCATTTCTTTTACTTCTATAGAAAAAGATATACAGTATACTATATATTTATCATCACTTTTTTTTTTCATTTTGTTTGTGAATTGGATTTATTAATTTTAACATAAATTAAAGTGTATGAGAATATTATATTTTTCTCGTGTTATGAAATATGTATTATTCTCTTCTGTGGCCAGATGACAGACTACTTGTTTTGTTTATTTATAGTATAATTGTCTTCTTTGGATCTGTTTACACTAATTTCTCTCCATAAAGACTTCTAGAAAAGAAAAATAAGAAGAAAAAAATGAAATTGATTTCTCTATAAGTTAAAATTAGCTTATGCATAACTTAATTTCTAGAAGCTCTCCTTATCACTTCTCCAAATGTTTGTTTTTAACATGTACATAAATTAATTTTCTCCTACGCAGAAGTTAATTTCAGCTTTTATTTCATATTTTTCTCTTCTAGAAGTCCTAAAGATGCTCGTTCAAACAGGTCTTTTACTATTTATTAATACATTATAGCAAACCCCTTACTATGATCCCTGTTAAATCTGTTACCAATTTTTAGGTAGAAATTCCTTTAACCTACCCAAAATGTCATATGACACTCCTCTGCTTTCTAATTTCAAGTGACAATGGCTAGCCCCTTCAATTTAGTTGGATTTTAGCTTGGCTGTAAAAGAAAATGCTGAGATCAGTTGTAGGCAAACCAAATAGTTTTGCTTAAAGTTTTCTGTGGAAATTAGATGCAAGTTTCTTACGTTATGTATTATCTATTATGTTTTTCTCAAGCACTACCGCATCATAAATATACAATTTTACGAGAAAATTGATTAATTCTAGGTAAAACTGCCAGAATTGATTTTCAGTTCTGTCTACGTTAACTGCCTTAATGAGGAAGGGAGGTCATTGTCATTTGACGATAAACAGTACAGAGAGGTAGCTGTAATATTGAAAAAAAAGAGGGAGTTCTTAGTCATTTGGCCACACCATAACTAAGAGCAAGCCTTATAAGCTACCTTTACTCTAGCAACTTTGAAAACAAGCCATTAAGGACAGTTGCAGTCTGACAGCTAGGAAATTTTATCTTTTTCATAAACTAATTGGGGGGCTCTCAGGTCCAATCTTATGCTTTTTTATATATGATTGTCTAAGTCACTCTGGTCCCCCAAAAGCCACATCAGATCGTACTCATTCCCAAGGGAGATATTTGCAAAGACTAACTTCATTAGGTTATTTTATAGCTTTTTTGTGGTGTGTGGCTAATATATTCTGGAATTACTTTCTTTCCCCTACTTTACTAGTTATTCCTTAAATATCAATGTTTGATACTCCATTTATCAATTCTCTAACGCAATAGACAGTGTTTTAACTTGGTTTGTTCACTATATTGTATATTTGACTTTATTTGTATTTTATTTACTAGGAAGAGGAAATAAGAAAAGGGGAATTGGAAGCAGATGCAGATAGGATGATGAGAGAGTACAGAGCTCAACTAGATGCTGAAAGGGCTCGTAAGCTTTCCCAAGGAAGAAATCACTCCAGTAGCAAGTCTAAACATTCAAAAGGTATGCATGGTAACATTCAAACCTTGGTGTGTTATGCTAGCACTTTTCCTCATCCCAGCTTCTTATGATGACTGTGTATTTTAATTGGCAGATAAGAGGGACAAAATTTCAAAGAAGCACAGCAGCAGAAAGAGAAAGGTGCTTTTTAATTTCGAAGACACTTACGATTTCCATAGATGAAATGAAAAGCTTCTTCTTAAATTTCATGTTTTTGTTTGCAAATAGAATAATAGTGTAACGATCTCTTTAACTTAACTGAGAGCTAGTAATTGTCTTTGCTTTAAGTTTTCAGTGACCATTCTTTGGGCTAAATATATTGAAGGTATAATAAGTTCAGGATATAGGGATAAGTTGTTTGTTTGTATTCATGTTGGAAATTTTTGGAGCTTTTTCTGTCGTCCTTTTAATTTTAAAAGGATAAATACAAACAATACCTGGATATTTGAGTCATTTTTAACTTTCATGTATAAATCTTTTTTCATAGCTCCCAGATTTCAAGAGATTGTTATAGAATAAACTGTAAAATCAAAATTGAAAATGTCTGAAACATCAAAGGGGTTAGTTGTAATATACCCTATAATATATTTTATCACTTTGAGATTTGGGCTGAAGGTTATGATGAAAAATGATTATTTTTGGTTTAAAGAAATTGATGCTTCATTGTTGCACCCCCTTCAAAAATCGGGTTAATGTTGATTGACACTTGATGTATCTGTTTGTTATGAATGTAAACATTTTTATGCATCCTCATCACCTCTACTCTTGTAGCATTCAAGAAGATCTTCTGCATCTAGCTTCTCTTCATCATCTTCCTACTCTTCCAGTAGTGATGAAGAAGAAAGAGGGTCAAGAAGATCCAAGTCCAGGTCTAAGAGGTCAAAGAAGGAAAAGAAGCCCAAGTCAAGAGGCAAGGATACTGGAACGGATAGCGAAGATAATGGTCCAGTTCGGCTTTCAAGATTCTTTGGGAACGTCAAGAGTTAATACTGTGCCTGAATACTTGGTCATGTATCATAAAATTATTTAATGCAAATAGTAAACTGTGGCCAGCTATACTCTTATATGATCAACGTATTCTTTCTTTACAGATTTGTAATCTTGTATGCCATTTTGTCATTTTCAGAAAGATTTTTGTCTTGAATTAATTTGTGAGATGGAGGGGCCAATGAATTTCGACGACTCTAAATTTTCGCCTGACAACAGAACATCCAGACCAAAGATGAAATAGCACAAGGGATTCTATTTTATTTTTCAATCAAGATGTGCTTTATTTGTATCACTTTTATATTATTTTAATGGTTATATATCAACAGTTTTACAGCTGGATAAATAACATAGCTAATGTAATAATAGTTAGCAACTTTATTGGGTCAGCGGATTAAAAATTTAAAATATCCTGAAAATTAGAAAAATAGGATAAAGAACTCGTCAATTTTAGTACAAGAAAATTGATTTGAGTCATTCCAAACAATACTGTTTTTCATCTTTTTAACAAAACTTAATTCTAAAATATTTTAAATATAAATGTGAGTATATTAATGAAATTATATTTGTATATACATTTTAAATTTTAAATTTGTAAGATGTACAATATTTGATAATTTTACATGGTATTTATTTTATTTTATTTGTAAAACTGACTTTGTCAACTAAGGTTGACAAAAGAAAACATAAAAATAGCATATTAGAGAACTTTAATTTTATTTTGTTTTCTCTTTTCATCATATTGTAGCACCGTGAAACGAGTATCCATGATCATTTTCATAGTACTTCAAGCCTGAAACCTTCATTGTAACATGGCAGTGGGTAATGGAAATTATTCAAACCCCGTATGTTCTAACGGTATGTTCTCAACGAGTATATAATTTTGTAATCAATCAACAATGTCATTAAAAAGAAATAACGGGTCGAAATCTCCAATTTCAACCAATGAAAATCATATAACTAAAACAACCCAATTTATCTTAAACATTAAGCTTACAATCATATTTGTATTGCGTAATTTTGAGTTTTCACTAGTTCAACCACTAAGCCACCGGTCTTTTACTTCACCAATTAAAGTTGTTTTTGATGATAAAGATAATTGTGCTGACATTTATAAATATAAGCAGAACAAATGGCCTTTACTACGATGGGCAAAAGAGAGAATTTCAAACTCATAAGATCATAAATTTGAGAGAAAAGATTTATCAGTTGGCTCAAGCCAATGAATTGGGACAATAATATGAAGCAAATAAGCCACAATACAAACACCTTATGATTGTTCCAGTCTACCAATCATGCCTCTGATGGAAATATTCAACTCCAATATCATCTGGTTTCAGATGATAGATTTATATATACAAAGACATCCCTTGATCTATGGACACAGACATCACACGATCCAAATCCAATGACAACATGACTATCACTACTGCTGATACTCAGGGTTAAATGCTAAAGCCTCTCGGTATATCAGTTCTTTCATCTGCTCCTCAGTCAAAGCATGTTGTTCGAAGTCAAAGCTAAAGGGGGTCATGCACACAGGTTCGTCGCTGATGTCATGCAGAGAGGTTAAGTAGGGGTGTGCCAGTGCATCTTCAACTGCAAACCATGGTAAATTAAGGAATGTAAGCACTAGGATCAATGTTTGAATTTTGAATGCAGATGGTGATGCTTATGAGACTAGTATTTGTCAGTTATAATCCCAATTAACACTATTTGTCAGTTATCTTTCCTCATCAATTAACACTATTTGGCATCCCAATTACAGTTTAATCCTGACATTTTCCACTGAATACTTGTATTTGTCAGTTATAATTGGAAATAACAAAATCATTATGTTGAAAGTGCAACTAGGAAGAGCTGTTTCTAGCAAGGATAGAGAGAAAATTTAAATCCATTAGACTGGGTGAGATCTGGGAGGAAATTGACATGATCAAGAGATGGCAAGAGACAACACTTTTAGTGTTGTTAGATATTGGTTTTCTCAGAGCCATTCAGCTCCCAAAAAAATTGGTAGGCAAATTGGCTTTTTCTTTGTGTCAGAATGCCTAAGATGCATGAAAAATTGAATAAAAGAAGACATGAGAGTGCATGGATAGAGGAAGCAGAAGTGCCACTTCTATCCAGAGCCTCTCTCACTATTGTGTTTTCAAAAGTTTCAAGTGAAGCAGGGTTTCCTTTGCCAAAATTTCGCGGGTAGAAAACTTGTAATTGTGGAAGTAAACAACTCCGGTTCCAAACAAAGTCCCATTGTTGCTGAAAAATCAATTGAACATTCTTTTTTGTCCTTTTTAAAAATGATGTTAAGTCAACCAAACTGATATAAACCGGTTCTCATTTTCAATATGTACTTTTGAAAATTTATATGTTCTTGTTTCTATTCTCTGGGATCACAGAGCATGGTTAATAACTTTGTCTCAACCTTTAAGAAAATCCCCCATAGCATCAACAAAACAATTTTTTAGTGGAAGAAATCAACAATACATATTGATTGATTGACAAAAGATATTAACCATAGCTTTACAAGGGGCATTTGGTTTGTGAAAATGCTTTACATTTTCCTAAATAATTACAAAATGCTACATTGTTTTCAGTAAGAATCTTGTTTCAAATATCTGTATAGAAGATGGTGAAAATAGAAAACAGCAAAATGTTTTCATCATCTCCTGTATAAATCTTGAAATCAGGAAAAAGTAAAATTGCTAATTTTGTAATTATTAGCGTTAAAAGATATCAAAACAGACAACATTTTCACAACCAAACAGGCCCTAAGTTGTCCATTTCTGAAATTGAAGCTTCAAAAACTTCTACTACATATTGAAATAGAAAGCTGAACTTGTAAGTAGTAAGCATACAAATACTAGTGTACACAGCCTAGCCAACTAAACAGATATTACACCAAATTAGTTGGTAAGCAACCCTTGAGAAAAGTGATGATAGAATAATTTGAACAGATAAAATCATGCCCAAACAATTTCTGAAGGATATAGAATATATAATTCAATGATTATATGGCATCTCAAAAGCAAAACTGAAAGCATTTATGACAAAGTATATTCAGATCTCAACCCATGACTGATTATTTGAATAGACTTTTAACAAGTACTGGTGGAGTCAAAACGAATAAATCTTTCGGATTGATAATCTTTAACCATAGATAACAAGCCTCAAGCAATGAAATAATGAAACTTACCAGTAATCCTTTTTCTAGGGTCAAAAGTTAACATTTTCTCAACAAGATCTATAGCTTCAGGGTGGACATGTGGAAACTTTTCTTGGAAAGATTGACGGCGGTAAAGAGGCAGTTGCCTTATATATCTCATAGCATTATCATTCAGAAACCCTAAATCAGCCTCTGAAGGGGTGCCAATCAGCTGTAAAGTAAGAGCACGTCAGCTATACACTGTTTTCAATGCAGACTGTTATCAAAGATAAACCATATATATAGATCATATGGTTACGAAAAGAGAACATAACAAAGCAGGTGGAGATTTCGTAAGAATTTCATCATTTTGGTTTAATGATCTGACTTTAATCGAGTGGATGTAATATAATGAAACTTAACCTGAATTTTAATCAAGAATGACACTGCCATAGATTTTCAATTCGCTGTAATAATGCGTTAGTTCCAAGTCTGGCAGGTTATCATTTCAATCCATAAAAACAAATGTGAATCAATAATTCTTGAATGTTCTTCATATAATGAAGACTTCTGAATAAGTTACCTCCATAAGTAGACGCAACTGATGCACATGATCTCTTCCAGGAAACAAAGGCTTTCGATCCATCAGTTCCATGAAAATACAACCAACAGACCAAACATCAATTGCTGCTGTGTAATCAGAAGAGTTCAACAGAAGCTCTGGTGCACGGTACCATCTTGTAACAACATATTCAGTCATAAAATCAGTTTCAGAGGTGACTCGAGCCAGTCCAAAATCACAAATTTTTAAGTCGCAGTTGGCATTCAGGAGAAGGTTGCTAGGTTTCAAGTCCCTATGCAGAACATTCGCAGAATGTATGTACTTCAACCCACGAAGGATTTGATACAGAAAATACTGTGCAAAAAAAAAATTTTATACAGGTGTCAAGGATAAGATTAAGAAAACTCCGGAAACAAAATAAAAAAATAGACAACCGAATCATTTCCTCAAGACATGAAAAATGAAATCCAAAAGGTACTCTATTACCTAGCATTTAAAATTTTGAAGAAGGACATTCCAAAGCATTTATAACAGATGACAATGTGGGAACATATTGCAAATAGTTAATACAAACGTGGGCACAATGTAAAAGTGTATATAAATATGTACCTGACAGTGCTCCTCTGATAATGCTTGGTTTGAACGAATGATTTGGTGAAGATCAGTGTCCATCAATTCATAAGCAATGTAAACATCATTGAATGCCTCCCTTTGAGGTGGTGGCACTATATCTCTGATTGCAACCACCTAGGCAATAATTACAATAGGCAAACCCTTATAAGAATTATTCTTAATGCTCTTAAGTTGCAGCATATTACGTCACAGAATTATTTGCCCCATAATATATAAGCAATATGATATGTACAGATTTTAAATAACCTAATAATGAATACTTATTTTCAGTTATCAGAACTACAACAAGACAAAAAGAGACAGACCAACTGTAAATGAAACATTTTAACAGATACGTGTAAAAGCCGGTTTGTCAGTTTGTTTCACTGAGAACTCCACAGAAAGCAAATAAAATAAGCAACGTGTCTGACATATATCTTAGCAAGCATCAATAATCAACAGCCAAAACAATTTAAGAAAAGAAAAAACGCACACATTAATGCAGGACAAAAACGGAAAATAACTGCATCAAGATTAAGGATAAGACGACAAACTAATCAACAAAAATGCCAGGGTATCAAATAAAAAACAGGTGTCAATCATCAATTTAATCTTTGGACACAAGTACACCCTTCCCTTAAAACGTTATGAATTACCATCCTACAATTGCTACATATTATCACCATCAATAATAAGTTCACAACCAGAAAGCTAATGCATGTGTGCCACATAAAACTAACTGGTGCATTTCGGTCTCAATGTCTCCTACAATGTTTACACACCCCATCATTGAGCATCGATTATTCCCTTAATTCAACTGCAAAATTGCTTCACAGCTGATAAGGAACACATTGTACAGACAAAATGGTAATCGAATTTAAATATTTCACACAAATTTCAGGATCTAAAGTGAAACAGACAATTACACCACACAACAGAAAAGATTCAGCTCTCAAGAGAAGACTAAAACAAGCAAGCAAGCTAACAAACAAACAACACTAAAAGGCAATCATAATCATTACTCACTGACGTTTTCATGATCCATGTGACGAAGCAGCTTAATTTCTCGGAGGGTCCTCTTGGCGTCAATCTTGTTGTCAAACGCATTAGCAATCTTCTTGATGGCAACGTGCTCATTCGTCTCCGAGTTCAAAGCCGAGCTATTCACACACAACAAAACAAACACCAAACCAAAAATTTCCATCTTCCATTCCCAACCAAATAAAAAAAATCTACTTTTTTTCTTAAATTCAAGAAACATAAGAAAGAAAAAAGAACATTGAAAAAGAAGCTAACTTAAAAGAACATTGAAAAAGAAGCTATCTTGGAGTCGGATTTGATTTGGAAAGAAGGAAAGAGAAAAAGGGTAAGTGTGTACCAAACGATGCCGTATGCGCCTTTCCCGATGGGCATGATGGGTGGCTTGTATTTGGCAGTGACTTCAAATATGTTGCCGAATATGTTGTATTGGATGAACCTGCCACCGTGACTGAGCGTGGCCGGAATATTCTCGATCCCCATGGCCACGGGCGGCTGCTGGGGGTCCGGTTGCGGCGCGGCGTCCGACATGACTGTGTCAGCCGGCGGAGCAGCTCCTCCTCCTCCTTCCATTGGTGGTGTTCTCTTCTTTCTTGTGTCTAAGATTGAAGAAAAGAGAGAAGAGAGAGGGTAATAGCTGGTTAATATTGTTTATGATAGTAGTGTGAATGAATATATTTATAATATGTATGTGGGAAAATGTTGATGATGTTTATGATGGTGGTGACGGTGATGCAATCGGTGTTATGAATAATAGGATTAGAAGAAGAACAAGAAGCAGAATGAACCTGATTTGTGTGAGGGGTTTTGGTCAAACAGATCTGTACTCTCTCTCTCTCTCTTTTCTCTCTCCCAACTTCTGTAAAAACTGCCATCTCTTTCCTCTGTCAACCTTTTCTTGTTTTATTCATTTGTTTTTTTTCCTCATTTTTTCAAATTTTCCTTTTTTTTTATATATTTTTTACACTAATCTTGTTCAAGGTAGGTTTAAACATTAATTATCAACATATTTTCTGTTGTTGTGTAATAACACAATCACATTTGAATTTTAAGAATTTTGTCTAAATTACCTAATTTCTCATCTTAATAAACTATATAAACATTTTCTAGAATAAATATTTTATCTTCTTTCCTACTTTACAGGAGAGTAACATATAGTAGATCTTTTATTTTTTTCCTTTTTTTTTTTTTTTTGTACAATTCCTTATTTGGTTAAACATTGTGTTTATGTGTTTCACCCTGAACTGTAATGATGATCTTATTTGATAATTTAAGACAATTGTGGTAAGTGTGGAGTAATATATAAAGGAATAAAAGTTTACTAAATATGTAGTAACTAGTTAATGTTTATTTTAATCATTAGGAGTATTAAATAAAGTGCATCAATGTTCTTTAGTTAATATTTTTAAAACACTCATTGGCAAGATTTACATGATAATTTTTATTAAAATCTTTGTAAATGGTAATATTCTTTTGGTACATAAGTTTTATTAATTTAAAATATTAATTTTTTTCTAATTTGAAAATATTATTCTTCTAAAACATTAAAATATTAAATGAATTTTAAATTTTAAATTAATGATTTTTTTTAAGTGTAAATTTATTAAATGTTTTTTAAATTAGAAATTATTTAATATATTCCACGTTTAGAATGATTAAATATGTGTAGATATAAAATTATTAATGTTTGCCAAACTTATAATAATTAAATTTTGTTTAGATTTAAAATTGTTAACCTTTTTAAAATTTAGAATTATTAAATGTTTCTTTGGGTTTTAAAAAAATAAATGAATTTATTTTTATTAAATGGGTTTTTTCTTTTAATTCCATAATTAATTTTACTAAATGGGATATTATTTTAATTCCTTAATTAATTAATTATAAAGTAGTTAATAAATGTTTTTGTGGTACTATTTTTAGAGCTAAAATTAACATATTGGGTATTTCAACTGTGTACATTTCCGTCTTTAATTTGTTTCAACAAAAGAAAAAAAACGAAAAAATAAATTATCTCTTTTTATCCTTAAAATTTTCTTTCTAATCCACACTTTACATTACATTTCAGTTTTTCCTTTTATGCTACCATGAAAAAATTAATTATTTTAATTAATATAGTTACTCTTTTATTTTACATGACAACTTTTAATTAATATGAAAATTTAAAATGGTTTTATTTTCATTAAATGGGTTTCTTTTTAATTCATAATTAATCATCCAGCAATTAATAAATATTTTTGGGTAGTTTTCTAGATAAAAAAAAAAAAAAGTAACACATTGCTGGGTACTTCATCAAAATACAATTCCTTTTATTTATTTATTTTTCCAAAGACTGAAAAATAAAAATAGGATTTTTTTTTCTTTTCATTAAAGTTTCATCCCAATTCACATATCATTTAGAACTTTTATTTTTGCTAACATGAAAAGAATATTATTTAAATTAATATAGTCACTCTTCTAGTTTTACAGTTAATATGGTATGAAATTTGAATAAAAAAAACAGCACGGATATTTTAGATATATAATAAATTTATCAGGTAACATTTTTTTAATAACTTCCTTTTAAAATAATAATCATTCAAATATATTTAATTTTATTTTAAAATTAATTGTACAAATAAAAAATATTAATAAAAATAATGTTGCAAAATAGTTAATCAAACATATATATTGAATAAAAAAATGGTAACAACATGTATTTTAACACATTTTTATAATTATTTAATATTTATTAAATATAGATTAATAAAATGTAATTTTAATAAATATTTATGAATATCTCATTGTACTAAGATAAAACCTTTTTATATACCCCACAATGTGGCAAAGGATTTGGTCCATGAATAAAAAAATATACCCATGTTTCTTGAGGAATAAAAAGATTTATCCTTTAATTAATACTTTAGTTTCTTGAGGAATTAGTCTCCAACCTCAATGTTTTTTAATTTAATATGGTGTAACACGTCCAAATTTTCGTAACTAATGATTGATTCAAAACTGGTCAATTTTTTTTTAAAAGCTGGTCAACGATTGAAAATGAAAATAATTTTTTTTTAATAAAATACACAAAAAGATAATTAGAATTTACAAAGTCAGTGATTAAAAGGTAAGTTATCTTATTAAATTACATGTGTTAATTGTAATTTTGTATTTCTACATATTTCTAAAATTTGTAATTTTTTTCTTTATTTTTTTCACCATTATAATTTCTTAATTTATAATTATTCATAATAATTCTGATATGTAGATTTCTTTTTTCACAATTTTGAATATTTTAATTACATGTGACTTTATCCAATTTTCAATTTTAAATATATTAATATCTTTTTAATCTTCTTTTAAAATTTCACTATGTATGTCTAAAATAAAATAATTTGAAATTTGAAATAATTTGAAATTTAGGATTAAATTTGTGTAAAAAAAAAGTCAAAGACTAAAATAAAGTTATTCTTCGAATACTACTAAGATTTAGATTATTTTTTATTCTTTCACTTTCATGATTGTGTAATTCTAGACCTGAAATTTGTATTTGCACATATAGTTTTTTTTTTTAATTAGTCATTTTATATATCATTTCTCAACACATTAACAATTACATGATATTGACATGTAAATATGATAATAAAATTATTAGTCCAACACATGTGATTAAAATTGTACAATTTTGGTACCTTGATATAAAATTTACGTGATATCCTGGTAGTTTCAAAACTCTTAATTTATTTTTTATTTAAGATATGTTTTTTAATAGTTAATTATAACATATTTATGTTTTTATAATATATATATATATATATATATATATATATATATAACATATTTTAAAGATTATATTATCCAAATATAAATGGTAAAAATTGAGAATAAATTTTGAACTTTTACTTTTGTATTCTAATATGAAAGAAAGTCTCTTTGATCTTCGATCATCATTTATTTTTTGATAATTTAAGATAGATAATTATTTTAAATAATTAGATTATCAACAAAATTAAGGATAAAAATAAGAGTAAAATTATAATTTTTATTTTTACAAATCTCTCCTAGATTGAAAAAAATAATAATTTGATAAAAACTTTATCAATATAATAATAAAAATATTCTTACCCAAAAGAGAACGTTAAAACTATCATATCACATAAATATTTAAAAAGAAAACATGATAACAAATTTAATTTACTAAATTTAAAAAAGAAATTGATAGTAAATTAAATTTAACATTAAATGAACGTTCAATTAATAAAAAATATTAATTATTACATTATTTTCTTCTATGAAATTCACAATTTCCAACTTAATCAGTTGCTGATTCATTATCGATATCTTTACTAAATAAACAATACATGAATGTAATAATATATATATATATATATATATATATATATATATATATATATATATATATATATAATTACTAATGATTACAACACATTTTATATATACAATGCTAAATAAAGAAAATAAAACATATTTACATCATAACAATTTAAATTCCACAAATCACTTCTGTAACTTGAAATATAATTTGCTTCCGTGTTAAAATATAATTATCATAATTATAGATAATTATATTTTAAAATATTATAAAATAAATTTATGAGACCATAATTTTAATTTCCATTTTTATGTATACATAAAATAAAAATAATTTTACTTATCACGTGTAACTAGTTTCGTAACATGCTCTTTTATGTTAGGATCGCATGTCTATAGAGGCCTAATTCTCAAATATAACACAAAAGCCACATACAAACACCCCGAGTACTACACTTAATTTGAGTGTAGCGGTTCGGATTTTGTAAAGAATAATCAAGAAGTTCAAAATCAAACAAAGAAGGTAAAAAATAAAAAGTATAGAAAATTTGTGAATTTTATATAAATAAAATTTTAATAATTAAATTTTTATTTATAACCATTTTAATTTAACTAATAAAAGAATAAAAATCCATGTAACTAAATCACTTATTCTATTCCATATAATTAAATCACTTGTTCTATTTGATAATAAATTCAATTCATACCACCTTTGCCGACTATTTTATCTATGACATTATCTTTAGGTTATTGTAGTTTAATTCCGAAAAAAAATTAAAATAAACCATTAAATAGTTTTAAAAAGTAATTAAACAAAATAATTTTAATAATTAATTGAAATAAATTCTTTCTAAATTTAGATAATTATTTTTATATTAAAAAACTAATATAATTACTAGAAAAACTTCTCGAACTTAACTGAAAATTAATAATTTAATGAACGTACTATTTTTTTTATAACAAAACAATTATAGTTACTAACTTATATATTTTTTCTGAACAAAAACTAAAAAAAGGAAAGTAATACTTCAATAATTTTTTTTCTTAAAAAATTAGTTGTTGGAAAAAAAAACTAACACTATGCAGATATAAAGTTATATTTGTAACATATTCTAAATTAATGAGTTGAACTTAATTAAATTATTTAAAAAATAAACTAAATTAGAAAGATAATTTGTCTTAACTAAACTGAACTAAAATAAATATTGTTCAATCAAATTTAACGGAATTACTTAAATTATTTTTTATTATAATTAAGTACATCA